GTTCATCAATTAATCGGGTATCGAGACAATTTTTTTCAACATTGAACACCGAGCTAATTTTGATGTAGCGGTCCGTGAAAGAACGATCGTTACATCGAGGTCGCAATTAGATCCCCCGAATCGATTAATCGTTATGTTAAGAACGTAGTTATTTTAGAATCGTTCTCGTGCGCGCATCACGTGAAATCACGATAGAGCGAAGAATGCGATCTCTTCGTCGATCATATTACCTGCAACGACACCGCGATTATTTTCGAAATTTCTATTTGCCGACGAACGAATATCTTTTTCTCTTTCTCTATAGAACACGAGGAATACATATTTATAGCTCGCGATGAGCACACCTTCGCGTGATCCCAGTCAACACAATAATGTAGCCGATACATATGAATTTCCAAATCATGTTTTATATAGTGCGAAAGTTATATATATATATAACCAATCGCGTTTGTCGTTGTCTTCCAAAACGTTACCTTGCGCTTGCAATTTCACCCCTTAAGCCCAATGATGTGAGCTAATGACCCGCACGAGGTATAAATCTCTTCGACGCAGCGCGGCGATTCTTCTTAACCCTGGAACGCTGGGGTGAGTAAATTTCACGCATGTCGACGTAAAAAAAATCACGTCTCCCACCTTGACATCGAGAGACGAAAGCTAGATCCCCCAACCAGACACGTCGTCCCTCGCGCGATCATTCTTTTGCATCAAGTACATTTGCCGATTTCCGAAGCTCGTCGGGAACGGAGAAAACTCGCGAGACACGATAAAGAGAAAGAAAGAAACTCGTTGAGAAGTCGTTTCACGCTCGCACGTTTCTCGCGTCTTCTTCCCGCAGCCTTAATACGCCCAAACGAAATCGTCACCCCAGTGAGTTCTAGGGTTGAAAACGACTCTGGCGTAGTCCTCCCTCCTTCCCCTCCGCACCTCCGCTTGCTGTTTCCTACGGCACGTCTCACTGACTGACAGTCGATCTGTGTGTTTCAGGTGGCAGCCAATCAGCGGCCAGTTACGAGGACCTGAGCTCAAGCAGCTTCAGCTCCGCCAGCAGGGCGTCCCTGGACGCCAGGAGTTCGCCGACGCCGTCGTACGGGGCCGAGAACATGATGGTGTTCCCCGGCGACAGTAGCGGCTCCATTTGAGATTACTTGAGATGCGCGGCCATGTTGCCCAAGTGGCTGCGCTGCCTTAGGTAAAGGAAGAAGAACGTCCTCCCGTCTTCTCGCGGAAGAGGAAGAAGAAGAAGTAGCAGATTTCCCGCAGAACGAAGGAGAGAGAAGGGGGAGACTCGTAGTGGGCCTCGAGGTACCCCTCTTCACGTATCGATCACACAAAGTTACGTTTTTCTATAAGGGACTCGGCACGCAAGGAGTAAATTCACACACACACACACACACACACACACGTACTCATACGCGCGATCTAAATAAGTTCGGGACAATGCGTTTGTGTATGTGTGAACAGTGTCGAAGAGCAGTTCGTTCGAAGGAAGACGAGGAAGAAGGGGAGAAAGCAATGGGAGGAGCAAGAGCGTGTACGAAGAGGTTCTCCCACGGGAAGCGGGAAGATCAGAGGACAAACACGTTCTTCTCCCGCTGCGCGATTTCTCTCGAGCGAGACAACACACCATTTTGCCATTTATCTTTTGCCCTCGTGTTACCTCTTGGCCCCTCCGTTCTCTCGCTCTATGCGTGCAAAATCCGTGGGCATTCGACGCGTTCTCTTCCGGCTGATGCGTGACGCACCGCCACGCGCTTCTTACAGCGCGAGCTAGCTCTCGGTACAAAAAAGAAGAAGAAGAAAGAAAGAAGCTAGCGGAACTTCCGTTATGTTTCTCACTCTGAGATCGCCGGCCCTGGAAAGCCGCGCGACGGAAGAAAAGCGGGGGAGGGGGGGGNGAAGAAAACGAAGAAAGGGATTTTTTGTGTTTGATCTTGATCTTTCTCGCTATTAAACGGCACATCGTGAGGGACTACTTTTACTGCTGTAAAACGCGACTAATTGATAATTATTGATCCCTATATTTTTATACTTTTCGTATTCTCTCTCTCTCTGTCTCTGTGTGTGTGTGTGGACGACGTACGCGAGGTAGTCTACATTCGTGATAATTGCATTTTGTAATCTCTTCGCCATCTCCCGATCCGCCTGTCCATTTCCTCTTGGCTTTTGCGCGCACGATTGTTAAATTCGCCGCGACTTATTATTCAGACACACACACACACACACATGTATATATGTATTATCGATTTTCGTGACTCCCCTATTTCTTTGTTTCTTGCTCGCGTTTTGTTGACGCGCAATCATATTTCAGGCGACCTCCGAACGATGCGTTCGCTCGATCAATACAGGGTGATGGTTAATTGCGTGCGACAAATAGTTAGCGTGGTACTCTGCCGGACTGATCGAACGGTCCGTCTTTTCTCTTTTTTTTTTATAATAAGAGAGTTGTACAAAGAAAAAAAAAACAAAGAAAGAGGAAGGGGAGAAAAAAGCGAACAGACCCCTCGATCACAAACACTCCGATGTCCGTAAATTAAGCAATAATTATAGGACGCGTAGAGGCGCGTTTCGCGACCGTTTTCTCCGATTTCCACTTTGATGTTTAATACGAGGTTTACTTCTATCGATTTACAGCTATATCGGATACATTATGTAATTACTACAATTATGGTAATTACATCGTGGTAGAAATAACAACAGGTCTTGGTTTTCCCCCACTCTCGACACCTCCGAGCGACAATTGAGTTGGATTTCGGGATATTCGTGCGTCACTCGTGCGTCCTTCCTTTCCCGATGCGAATTTCCGATAGCCTCAGTAACGAAGAGAGATCGTCGTCGCGCATATATCACGATATCTCTCGCCTGTTTTTACACACGTTTTCTTACCATGCTCAAATTTGTCGTATCGCCATCGAGAATCACTTGTATTCGTCAAGCCGACACACAAGTGCTGTTCTGCACACATGAAGGACACGTAACGCGAACGCGATCTCGAAACTCTTGTCGGGTGTTGAAATTCTCTCGACGCGCAGAAGCAAGAGACGGAACATAGTTTTCGATGAAAAAGCACGAAGCGAAGACATATCTTACCTCCCCCCACCCACGCGAGTGCGAGCGATCGCTTCACTTTTGCCGTTTACCGAAGCGTTCGTTTCACGCATTTGTTGCATTCGAAAGACGACTTGATCGTAAGCTTTTCATAGAGCATTTTTATAACTCTCTCTCTCTCTCTCTCTCACTCACTCACTCACTCCCTCCCTCACTCACTCACTCACTCACTCACTCACTCACTCATTCCCTCTCATACGTAGAAACGATCGCTATTTCGAGCATAAGTGAACAGCAAACACCTTTGTTCGGATTCACGAAGTGTCCGCTTCGACAAGCGGCAAGAGCAATTATTCGCACGATGTTCTGATACTGTTACGATAAAATTCATCGAATTGGACGCTATCGTTTCGGAAATTTGCGAAAAGAATTCGGCACGATGGTGAATTCAACGAATACACGGTGTAAAGTGATCGAATAAATACGGTATTAACGGGTATTAACCCTCTATTGATCAGATTAATAACGTTTCGACATTCATGTATCGGACGTTCGAGAAGACGTTCATTACGTAGCGAAAAATTAAGTGAAAAGAGAAACATCCGTCATACGACGCAAGGTTTAGAACAGAGAGTTTCCGTAACTTGTAACTTCGAGGGAGAGAGAGAGAGAGAGATATATTACTGAAGTTGGTGAGCGCGAATAAGTGAGAAATGATGAGAATCCGTGTATATAATTTAAAAGTTATACAGCCGACGATAGAGGGTTAAATGAATATAGCGTAAATAAATGATATGTACGCGTGCGGTGAAAACTGCGAGTATTTGAATAGATAGATGCATGTTTCATAATATATGGATATAATTTCAGAAATGAATTCGGAACATAAAAGTAACACAAAAGTTCGTCGTATACATTTGTCCTGTCTGACTTTGCTTCCGAGTTATAGATTTTCATATTTCATACTTCATTTTCATACATTTTCGCACTTCATTATTTTTCATTAGGTTTTTGTTAACTTTGTTAAGTCGCCAGATTTGAATCCACCAAATTTTTACATGCAGGGACACTTAAAATCTATGGTTTACGATACAACGGTAGACAATGTTGATGCATTTCACCAGCGTATTGAAGAAAGTTACCAGCGGATCAGAATAACACTCGGAATATTTTGAACGTATTAGAAGATCAATGATAAGATCCTAGACAGCACAATGTCCCAAATCGGGACATGAGACATCTTTAAGATATCTTAAAGATATTTTGAAAATATCTATAAATAAGACGCCTTAAAGATATCTTGAAAACGTCTTACGTCCCGATTTTGGATTTTAGAAGTTTGTCTTTAAATCCAAGGTGTGGTCGCTTTGAGCATTTCCTTTAAAGACAGAAATATGTGAAGACGCTACGTCAGCTGAGTTTTTAGCGAGAATTAGTGAAACATGAAACGTCCCAGTAAGCAAAAAATCATTAACACAACGTTAACATTAACAATCATTATCACAATGATATCTTATAACGTATAATGTTTTCAAATATGTAGCTCTTAATGTTGTATACGTCATTATTAACAATATTTGAGCCAAGCATTAAAAATAATATTTCTATACTATGATTTTAATATTTTGGAACGATATACGAGGTCTGTTCAAAACGTATCGCGAATTTTGTGTTTTTTTCAAAAATTATTTATTCATGAATATCTATTTTGTCTCCTTCAAAGTAATCCCCATCAGATATTATACACTTGTGCCAACGTTTTCTCCAATCCTCGAAGCACTTCAAAAAATCGAAAATCGAATATACGTAACCCGCGGAAATTCAGAATTCGCGATACTTTTTGAACAGACCTCGTATGATCAAGTAACGCTTGAAAAACATAAAATATTGTATGAAAATATTTTTAAATCAATGTTTCAGAAGATGATTTAATATTCCTTGCTTATTTTTGTATCATTTTCGTGTCATGAATTTATTTCTTAAATTAACATCCGCACGTTATGAAACGCTCTGTATACATACGATAGGATCCCACCTTTGGAATATTCGGTGAACGGACGGTTGCGTCGTCCAGAGACGGCGGAACGTCGCGTAATCGAGCGAAGCTGCAAAGAAAAAGGCGCGTCGCGTAGCGTCGAAGACAGATCGAGTTCCTCCGGCAGATTCGTTCCTATTCCATCGCCCGTTCGTAAGGTACCAAACCACCGTGTAACCGGGTATCTTAAGCACCAACGGAGAGAGTGAGCTCTCGGCGACGTAGGCTTTAAAGAACAGAAGAAAAGGAGAAGAAGGTAGAGTCGCATAGCAGTTACAGACGCGATATGTTTGGAACGAGGTCGGCTAGCTAATTACACTTGTAGACGTGTAGGTCCCGTGAATTAGGGTTTCGCAACTGTTCGTCAAGTTCCACGTGGAACTCTCGGGCGATTCATACAATAGCTTTTCGCATCGTGTGCGCGAGTGCGGAGTGCACAATACGGAGCCGAGGACGTATTATTTTTCTTCTCGTTTTTCGCCCTCGACCTCGCGCATGTGTATTTTTCTACCTCTCAGAGCTCGGACACAATGAAAGGGGAATAAGAAACGTGGAATTAAATAAGGGGTCATTATAAACAAAGAATCAAATTTTGACATGAGGACAACAGTCACATAATTTCTAGGGCGTAAACATGAAAAGTGAATATTTCCAAATGCTTTTAAATCAGAAAATTTCTACTAGAATATTTATCGCCTGTCATTGTGTCATTGAGTCCTTACTTTCTCCGTGGCGTCATCGAGGACTCGTGAGGGTCCTCGACGACTTCGAGAGGCGAGGACGAGTCCGCAGGCTCCGAGTCGCACACGATATAGCGTGCCACCTGATAGAGCCGTAAACGATCGCTGTAATAACGATAGTTCTGTATGTAGAACGTCTATTTACTAGACCTGCTCCCGAGAATCGATCGCGGGGTCCTCGTGAGTGTACCAGTATAATTATACGATAGATGAATTGATCAATTTTTTATCTCCGTTGTACGTCGTATCGGGCCATCCCTATAAGCGCATATTATTTATAATTATATTATTTAATATATAATTAATATATATAAATATTATTATTTAATATTAACTAATATTCTAGGCATATTCTTAGACACTTAGAATATTAAACATAATATTTTAAGAATATTCCAGTAATATTATTTAATGTTATTGTAATATTACATATTTTTTAAATATTCAACTCTATGTAAAAAAAAAATATATATATATATATATATAATTGCAATTTTTTATTTCAAACGTATTGCAATACCAATTGTTAAAAAAACACACAGACACACACACACACATATATATATATATAATTGTAATTTTTTATTTCAAACGTGTTGCAATACCAATTGTTTTATTATATCGGTAAAGTCGGAATAATTATGTGTAAAAATACGTTTTATACTAAAAATTATACATATATTTTTTTTCTATATTATTATTATTATATTATTTTTTAAATATTCTGAGAACATTTTTATAATATGCCAAAAATATTATGTGAAGTGGACATATAACATCAATAGAATATTCCTATAATATTAAAAAATATTATATAACATTCTTAGAATATAAGAATATTATTTTAATATTGAATAATATTCATATAATATTCTGAGAATATTATGCGCTTATAGGGATCTTACCGTAGAAATGCGAGTTCTCCTTTGGACGGAAAGAGCGGTCGTCCGCTCGAGTGTTAACGGCGAGAGAGACAGAACGGTCCGATGAACGCGACGAAATCGAAATTGTAGTCCTTGTACACTGTATAAATAAATATTGCACACCGAGTAGTCGTGAAGATAGCTGTGGAAGTCGCTCAATCAAAAATATCCGGCTGGACGGATCGAATCTCGGGAGCTCCGATCGTCTCTTGATGTTACCTTGTAAGGAGCGTAGCTTTAAACGCAAGTCGCTTTAATCGACTGACTGTAATACGCGTAAACGATGACGACGGTCTCGTAATGTATTGAGGATCCGGTTTTTGCCTCGGTCAGGCCTCGGATAACAAGGTTCACGTGGATCGAATCCGACCCGTAGAGAAGCGTTCTGCAGATTTTCAACTAATTTCTTCGACCAGACATTCTTACTCTCATAATATGCCGGAAGTTTAAAAGTAAATAAAATACATCAAACAAAATGTATGAAGTATCTGAAATATAACGCTTTGCAAGCGTGTTCGCGGAAGCATCAGAATATGGATCCGGTCGGATCCGACCAATCTTGTTATCTAAGGGTTATTACAGAGCGGTGCGCCCTCGACCGCATTCGGATGTCAGTTTGGGCTGTGCGCGAAATTCGCTCTCGGTTCGACGGGAGAAAAGTTCTGTGCACACCGAATTCGTTGCAGAGGTTGGTAATGTGTCATTTCAAGCATTGTTACCGTGACGAGTTACATTTTTCAGTAACGACTTGGTAACGGTGCTATTCTCTTTCTATTTTTTCCACTCGTAGCTGTGACGTAGTCGTATTTTGTGAGCAACAGTAAAGGACTGTCTACGATAGCCGTAAAATAAGCTGTAAGCATCGACGTAAGAATATATATATATATATATTTCTTTTTTATATATACAGGGTGAACCACGCAACGTGATCAGCTTAGTTCATTTTACTGTTAATGGACCGATTCAAAATTTTTTATCTAGCATAATATGGTTCAAGGTGAGCTTTAAGATGATTACATTAAATTTACAATACATAATTATACACAAATATACAATTTTCAATCGGTCTATTAATAGCAGAATAAACTAAGCTGATTACGTAAGCTAGTTCGCAGTGTGCGCGTGCGTGCATGTGTGTGTGTATAATTCTTATATATAATATATTCTTATATCGATAGCAATAAGATATAAGCAATAAGCTAATTGACTTAGCAATAAGCAATAAGCTAATCCAATTGGATTCTTACAGAAATGTCGATTGTGGTTAGTCAATTAGCTTACTGCATACGGCTATTGTAGACAATCCTTAAAACAAATACAATCGTTATTTTGCATACGTAGAGTATGTGCACATGGGATGGCCAAAACGTAAAGAGAAACTCGTGAAAAATTAGTGCAGGAAGGTTGTGAGAAGATCGTGAAAATTTATAGTGAAAGAAATAACAGGGACTCGTTCGAACAACAATGGCTGTAACGAGTTATTTTTCCAAAGTAATACTTCTTGAATAACGATGACGGTAACGAGTTATCTTTTTTCTTTTCAAAGTCAGTAACGTAACGAGTTATTTTTTTAAAGTAATTCTCCCAATCATGGATCATCGAGTCCGAGCCGCCGTCGATCAGCGAGAATTATCCTCGCGAACCGGGCGCACTTGAAGTATCGTCTAATCGTCAATGCGCGGACAGCATTCAGCGAGACATTAGGTGCCTTTAGCATTCCCAATCAACAATATATATACATATATATACTTGATATTATATACGTATATATAGACAGATGTGATCCGTGCTTGAGCGTAGATCGTACTGACTCGTTTCTTCACTCCGAGAGACAGGAAACCGCTGGAGCAGCGAAATCACGGGTCGATCGACTCGCGTTCACGCGGAGATGTGTCGTTCGTTACTCCGCGTTCAAATCACGGTGAAAACAGCTGTCTGTCGTCGGAGCAATGCGATTTGTTTGATCGAGAAGCGACCGAGTATACAGGGTGGCCGCCCACTGCCGGCAAGTACTTGGAGCGCACGGCGTGTCGTCGTACTTCCTTCGCGAGATTTCGTTTTTTTGGCGAAGTTCAATCGTAGAATCATAGACGTGATCACGCCGATCACGTTCAGAGAGGCATTTCTGAGCGAGCCGAGGTTTGGGACGTTCGAGCGGAATTGGCTAGAAATTTAATTGTTATCGCGTAGAGATTCTAATCGATAGGGATAAATTGTACCCCACTGCGCGTATTACGTTATTTTCTATCCGATAGAAAGTTAATCCGCATCGAATGATATTATAGGAGAACAATTAATTACCATTGTAGCTGTGTTTGCGCTGTGTAAAGATTGACTGTGCAATTTTGTTGCGAGAATCGCAAGTAACGATGGGCATTTTTATACATTTAGAGTTACTATGATACTACGTTTAAGACGATCGCGTGATCGCGGATGATAACCAAACGAACGAACGTCAGCTGCTTCTCCCGTGCGATCTCCCGTGTCGATCTGAATACGATGCGGCCGTCGAAGAGTGTGTTGTGGTTCTACGGACGCGAAGAGCGTACAGCGCTTATGTATACCTTCTCTTCGTAAAATACTTTGTTAGATCTGAGCAATGTTATAATTTAAGTAATATTTTTAATTGATGTTTCTCGGGATAATTTCTTGATTAAAAGTGCGATATTTCTTAATTAACCCTCCGAGTGGCGACCAGGATATCATTTGTGTCCGAGCCATTGTAAAAAAATGCTCAAAATAAAATAATTAAAAATAAAATATTTTGCAATTGATTCTTGATAAAATAACTACGTGATCTTCAAGGAAAGGTACAGGAAGTTCTAATAAAATTTGGAGATTTTTTCAAAGCAATTTAACGCTGCGGAGTAGCCGCTGTGACTGTCCACATTTAATGTCGTCAGAAGCGAGAAAAAAACGTATGCCAAAATTTTTTGCGTTATACTTTCAGATAAAAAGATGTATCCGTAAAATGACACTTCTGATCGATTCGGCAGATTTGTAAAATTGAACGAACTCTTTTCTTTCACTCGAACAATCAATAAGTAATCGCAAGACATTGACGAAATCATGAAAGAAGAGGTTGAAAAAGAAGATTCTGTGTCAAATTAATTTTGCAACTATTTATTAATTGTTCGAGTAAAAGAAAAGTGTTCGTCCAATTTTACAAGTACGCTGAACCGATCACAAATGTCATTTAGTAGATATATCTTTTTACTTGAAAGCATAACGCAAACAATTTTGGCATGCGTTTTCTCGCTTCTGATGTCATCAAACAAGGACAGTCACAGCGACTGTTCCAGAGCCTTAAGAAGAGTAGAACAATCGAGGAAGATACAAATAACTTTTGTTGCCACTCGAAAAATTAAATGTAACAATATACGAAATTTGAAAGGTGTTTTAAAAGATGTGAAATGGTATTAAAAAATTTGACACATTTGCATACGCAAAGTTTGCCGGGGAAGCGTTTAAGTCAGTCTGTATGCTTCTTCTTCTCGTAGATCGGCCAAATGTCAATCTTACAAGTAGGCTTCTATAACAATCGGCTGGAGAATGAGAGAGTGAAAGAAAGTAGATAGTAGAAAATCGCTGGTACCGAGTTTCGGTACCCGAAGGTTTCGTCGACATAACATATCGACGGAAGTTCCGTTTCGTCTACATCACGAAGATACTTCATCTTGAAGAAACTACCATTACCTGCCAACCTACCCTTTTCTCTTTTTTTCTGACGGCATATGTTTGAAAAGGTCGAGGGAAAGTAAAGTCGTAAGAAAGAAAAAAGATGTAGAACAAAAAACATTCCACGAAAACTCCCATCGATCCGTTGTTCTCAGCGCTGTTTTCATCTCCTGTCAGAGCCGCCACAATTCTCTCGGTACAGAGATGCGATATAAGTAAATAAGTATAGAAATTATATATATATACACACACATACATGTGTGTGTGTGTGTGTGTGTATGTATGTATATAAATATTATAAATATATATGTATATGTGTACGTATATATAGCTGTAGCTCGCTAATTGTACTTTCTGCCGATGTAGACGACGCAGAGCACCTTTGTATATCGTCAACTTTGTCCTCTGTCGCGGTAACACTTTTTGTAAATGTGATTGTGATCCACGTCGAGAGTGACGCGCGTTGAAAATGCTGTGATTGCAAATTTCCACTGATCGAGTGGGAAGGAAGGAAAAAAAGAAAAGAGAATGAGTCTGAAAATATGGTAATCGCTTGGCCGTGATTTCAATTACCAGCGATAAATGAGTGAGTGACAATGTGTGAACGGAGAGAAGAAAAAAAATACACGAACCAGATTGTGATGAACGGTTTTTTGACGAGGTGGCGTCGATGCAACGAACGTGGATAGGTATCGCAGATAACGATGACACAGAGAGAGAATGACAGAGTCGCGATGCATTGCATCATTGGTGTTTCGAAATTATGAGTCATCGTTAGACGTTCGATGGGCTGTAGAAAAAGATGAGGAAAAGAAAGAGAGAACGGCGATCTCCAAACAGATGGAACTGTTCGCACGTACGACATCGCGTCACTTCGGCCTACGTATATGTATATATACATACATACATATATACACTCACATATATATATATATATATATATNGTATTTTGTCATAGGGTTGAAAGAAAGCAAAAAAGAGAAAGAAAGGGAGAAAATATGGTTAAACATAACAAACGTAAAAGAGTATGTATATCTTATACATACATACATACATACATACATACATACATACATATATATATATATATATATGTGTGTATGTATGTATATATATATATATATATATATATAAAATAGTGTGTAAGACGTAATACTTTATGTCACATATACAACCGCATCGAGCGTAGTGATTCTTAATAAAGCCGGCGCTTCGGGATCTCTTTGGATGTCGACCGATTGATTTGTCGAACGCGACGACACACGCTCAATGGGATTCCGACGTAATACCGTGCGTAATACCGTGGAAGGTGTTTTGTAATTGCGACGGGCGGACGAATTATTTGAAACAAATAAAAGATTTTTAATGACTGCAACTACAATGAGAGTTACTGCGCGTCTTGTTACTCGTTCTTTTCGCATGACATGCTACTCAACATATCAACGATGTCTTTTTTTCACTCAATTACAACTGCGATTAATCGATATGTTTATTCTCCAGCTGGAGGATCTGTATTTCTCTTGGAGTCTCTAATATTTATCAAACGATTGATCAACTTCTGCGTGTTGGAAATATTTAAGTCCCTCTGTTTTATCTGCCACCGTAACATTGCTATTTTTTTTCGCAAGTTCCACATCTCTTCACGGAACTCGTAATACACAGATAATGTTTGAACAGAAGCATCTTTGGTTTCTACTGTATTCGCAATCTAAAATAAAAATCATACGATAAGTTGATGAACAGGAATTTGTTTACGGATACACAAGGATTTGTTTATAATATACTTACTGGAAGATCATGTTCTACACTTGATAGGAGTGTTTCTCGTTCTGTTTCTTGGTCTATTTCTTGTCCCGTTTCTTGTTCTACGTTTTGTTCTACTTCAGTTATCTGTAATTGAAACAATTGAAACATGAATTCTTGTGTCAATTGTTACATATTATGCCTCACATGTAATTTTACGGTAAAAATTTTTTGTTAAATATAATATTTCATGTTACAACATTTTTAAATTTTAATTTAGAAGTAATTGTATATTTTACAAGTATATGTGTAATGTATTAATTTGGTTCTTCCACTTATTATTATATTTATAAATTTCTTAAACATAATATAATTGAAATATTTTTCTCAAATATTGGGCAAATTCTTTCCAAATTAAATTTCGTAAATATTCCGATTAAGATAACTCGTTATATCGTTACTGTTTTGCCGAAATATTATTTAGAAAATAATTATGCAAACAATTATTAATATTTAAAAAAATAATATTTCTACATATATTTTCTTTAACATACTGACATAATTGCAGCATCATATATTTCATGTAAGATTTTTTTCGTCATATAATTTCATAAAGATCTTTCTATTAAGATAATACAAGGGAAACTTCATTAATATAACTGAATTAATTGTTGTCCGAGAACAGCAATAGACCAAAACAATTTAGACAAAACTTGGTTGCAGGAACAGGATTTCTATAGGAGGTTTCCGAACAATCAATTGCTTCCGGTTGTTTCAACCGAGTTTTAACACAGCTGAGTCTTCATATGAATGTTCTCAATCACAATAATAGAATCATTATTTCTTGTCAAAGTTTTCGTCTGGTCTCTTTAAGTTGCAGAGTAATGTCAGTGAATGTGAAATTGACGGCAATATGACGTTTTTTGATGTCACTCTGCTACATCGATCTATTCAGTTAAATGTCAAAGTATATCAAATCTTTTTATTTGGTTATAACTTGTCTTAACTGGGCGCACAAAAAGGATTTTCTTACGGACAAAATGTGGAGAATCGTATGAAAGAATTATTGATGCAAAGTATGTAACATTTTTTATTTGTTTATAATTTGTTATAACTTATAGTTTATAATTTAATTTGTCCTCGTGGAAATTTAATAATGTATTTTTTTTTTTAAGTAATATCCCATATAGTACAAATGTTCAAAGATATCTTAATGATGTCCTAGAGATATCAAATATCTCTGGAATGTCAGTTTCTACAATGTTTCTTTGAGTATTTATGCTGTATGGGATACTGAGATCGAGATAAAGAATTTGTTTATGAATATATGAGGATTTACTTACAATACTTACTGAAAAATCATATTCTTCTGTACTTGATAAGGGAGTTTTTTGTTTTATTTCTTGGTCTATTTCTTGTCTCATTTCTTGGTCTATTTTTTGTCTTGTTTCTACTTCTTGTCTTGTTTTTTGTTCTATTTTAGTTACCTATAATTGTAACAATTGAAATATTAATTGTTGTATATGTTATATGTATCACATGTAATTTTACAAAATAAATTTTGTGTATTAAGCTAGCATCCATAGGATGCACGATTTCCATGCTACATGAAATCCATTCGCATGTTGACTTGTGTGTATCCTTTTCCTACTTACTTTAACATTCAACATTAAAACAGATAATAGTAAAGTAGCCAATTTATGTCATCACTTTCATAAAGTGAACTTTTATAAGCTGGAAGGCTTTCATATTCTGTTCTATATAGTAAATTGAGGAGTGCACATGTCAGCATACCAATCAGCATGTAAGTCAGAAAGAACAAAGTCATGCACCTTGTGATGCTAGCTTTTTGTATATAAACCTCATTCAGTACAGTTACTGTGTCTTCGGATATACTGTCTGTACAAATTTCCTCCCATATTTCTATTATTTCCGTTGAACTGTCATCTATTATCTGAAATTACACAATGTAATTTGTAAATAAGTATAATTTACATAATCTAGTTTATATAAATATACAAGTACTTGCTGACATACTGAGGTGCCGACAATAATATACAAAAGTTATACCCGAACTGCCTCGCCGAAAAGAGAAGGAACTGCATTCCTTTTTAACCTCTTCACTGAGCAGAATTCCTCAAAGGAATCTGGTGTAAAGTGTGCACTGCAGATACGTTTCCCAGGATTCACATTTATGTCTTTCAATTCATCCACTTGCATCCACTGTACGAATCTTGCCTTGTTTTTTAAAGGAAATCTATATGTTGGCAGTTTTCCATAAGGACATAAGCAATATCGTATAAGTTAGGTTTTCACTATATATAGATATGTATGTAACTTACGTGTGATATGCTATACAGCTGTTCGGCCTCCAAACATTTTTACAGCCTGGCACGCAGCAGTTTTGCACCATAATGAAAGTGCTATATATTAAATTTGATAAAAAAAATATATATAACCTCTATCTTCTCACTCACTCACTCAGGCTGCGTTCTCTTTGGGCGCTCACGCGCTGTCATTCTATCTTTATTGTTTATTATATGCCAAAGGAAGATAGAATGACAGCGCGTAAACGCCCAAAGAGAACGCAGCTTCAGTATTGGTTCTAGGGGACCTAGAGGATATCCCCCAACATCACCTCAGTTCAATTTTCTCACGTGACTAGCGAATCCATGTCAGCTGTGTTCCAATATTTACTGCCAGTGCTGAATATTAGTAGTTTATTGATGCTTTCCATTCGGTGACACAAGTCGACATCATTTTGTCTTTGTTCTACATTCAATGAGTAAATTATGGCCCAAAGCGATCGTACCATTAATCAAGAAGTTATTTGTCTGATGCGTGCGACGTTTGAAATATTTTTAAGTACACATCGAAATTTTTTTTAAGAATTCCAGTACTGATTTTCGATTGTCCTCAACGAGTTCTACAAGAAATTATAATGGTTCAAAGTGATCCGGCCAATATTGAAGAAGTTATTTGACCTCAAATGTCTGCCTCTGAAGTAACTTTCTATGTCGTTTTTCTTAACAATTATAAATATTTGATATTTTTTACTTATTAGGAACTCTAGAACTCGTCGAGAGGAATCAAGTGCGCTATTCATCAGAACTGTTCGACATCAAATCTTTACGAACCTTTCTAAATTTTTGAAAGAAATCGAAACATTTTTTTTTGTTTCAGGAACTCTAGAACTCTTCGAAATACATCAAACGAGCTATTCAGAACTATCTGATGTTAGTTGTGAAATTAGTTAGTTACAGATATTAATACAACTGAAATAGCTGTATTTTGACTTTTTTATTAGCAACGTTGCAACGTTTTTGCAGCTAAAAGTCCGGTAAAGTAACATTTGCAGATAAATAGTTGTAATTAAAATTGGTAGAGCGTTATACCAAAACGAAATAATTTTGCTGGCACAGCAAACTGCTACTTATTATAAGGACAACAAAAAGATTTGTTATACGGAAGAAAATAATTTTGCTGTTGAAGTAAAATCGTCGTTGCGACAGCGATAAAATTTAGTCGATCAAATTATTTTGCTCTGCCCGTGCATCCAGCAAACAGCAACTCCTAACAAATCTTTTTGCCGTCCAAACTAACTTTTTCAATGTCCCCGTGATAACTAACAATTTGCTGTGCCAGCAAAATATTTTTCTCCGCGCGCACATAAGAGACCTTTCAAGTCTCATCAAAACACCCATCTGTCAAGAACGGTCACGTGACGTGGCTGTCGCATGCGCATCGAAATGAGACTCCGTCGGTCGCTTCATCTCCCACCACTGGGATCGAAAGAGTTTATACATACCTGTTTGTTCGTCACCATACTTGTATACGTGCGGTCGGTGAATAGAGGCGGTGACAAGTTGGATCGCGAGTGAATCGTCATAACGCGCTTGTTAAGTTCCGCGGAAGGCCGGCGACACAATAACACGCGAAGCGATACGAGGGGAACGTGCTCGCGAGAGAGAGAGAGAGAGAAACACACACGTTGATGCGTTGAACCCAACCTAACCTCCGAAGTTTACAAGCGTCAACCACGTTTTCCTCGACACTGCTGCGTATCGCGTTTCGAGGCACATCGGAAAGAGGGGAGACCTCGACACGTGCTCGATGTCCGCTGGCATGTTTCGCGCACCGGCGAAAACGTGTTGCTCGCCGTGCATCCTCGCGTTCAACGTACTTTACACACTTTGGAGACAGAATCGAGTGATATAGTGTTTACTGCAACTACATACGCGTGACTGTGATCGATTAACTTATTTCTTTTCTTTTTTTATACGGTTAACGCTTGTACGTAGAGCTCGCGTCGACTTACCGTTTCTTGTGCAATCCTAATCACATATATTACATAATATAATGGTTCGTATAATTGCACAGAGAAGCATATACATACACACATATATGTGTTAATACCTTGTTATTCGAATTACAGACGTCATCAATACGCCACATCGAGATGGGCAGACTGAGCAAGATACAGGAGAACGTTTCGCACATCAGGAATATATGTGTGCTCGCGCACGTGGACCACGGGAAGACCACCTTGGCGGATTCCCTGGTCGCGAGCAACGGCATCATTTCGAACAAACTGGCCGGCAAACTGCGGTATCTGGACAGCCGACCGGATGAGCAGCTGCGTGGGATCACCATGAAGTCCAGTTCGATAACGCTGCATCACGTGCACGATAAGGAGGAATACGTGGTGAATTTGATCGATTCGCCCGGACACGTGGATTTCTCGTCCGAGGTCTCGACGGCCGTCAGGCTGTCCGACGGTGCTTTAATCATCGTCGACGTGGTGGAAGGCGTGTGTCCTCAGACACGCAGCGTCCTCTCCGTATCCTACATCGAGGGTCTGAAGCCGATTCTGATATTGAATAAGATCGACAGGCTGATCACGGAGATGAAGCTGTCCCCGTTGGACGCCTACGTACGTTTGACGCAGATCCTGGAGCAAGTGAACGCGGTGATGGGCGAGATATTCGCGAGCGACGTGATGGAGCGCGAGGACCGGGAGGAGATAGCAGCGACCACTAACAGGACGAACGAGAGGAGTCTGGCCGACTGGCAGTCGGCGCTGGAGGAAATAGACGATTCCAATCTATACTTCTCCCCGGAACAGGGGAACGTTCTCTTCGCCAGCGCCTACGACGGCTGGGGCTTCGGCTTGAAGGAGTTCGCCAAGATCTACGCGGACAAACTGGGCTTCAGCGAGAAGGTTCTGCGCAAGACGCTCTGGGGGGATTTTTACGTAAATAACAAGACGAAGAGGATCATGAAGGGGGCGCAGGAGAAGGCGAAGAAGCCGCTTTTCGTGCAGCTGATTTTAGATAACATCTGGGTGCTGTACGAGACGTTGGTGATACGGAAGGACAAGGGCAAGCTGTCGCACATGGCGGAGAAGCTGAACGTCAAGCTGACGACCCGGGACCTCAGGCACACGGATCCTAAGGTGCAATTGCAGGCCATCTGCTCGCAGTGGCTGCCTCTGGCGCGAGCCTGCATCGACATGGTGTGCGAGGTGGTGCCGGCGCCGGACAGGTTGAGCGGTGAGAAGGTCGAACGGCTATTGAGCGGGAACAACAACTTCCGCGCGTTGCACTTGAAGACTCAGCAGCTGAAGTCTGCGTTCCTCGAGTGCAACCCGTCGACGTACCCCACCGTCGCGTTCGTATCGAAGATGTTCCCCGTGGACAGGGACATGTTGCCCGAGAACAAGTCGAAGCCCCTGACGCCGGAGGAGTTGGCGCACAGGAAGGAGATTGCACGGCAGCGGCACGCGGAGAGGATGTTGCGGCAGGTCAACGGGGGGGAGGAGACCGCCATGAACAACAACGAGGATCTCGACGACAAGCCGGACAATGCGCTGGTGGCTTTCGCCAGGGTGTACTCGGGTACTATCCAGGTCGGGCAGGACCTCTTCGTCCTGGGGCCGAAGCACAATCCCGCGATTGCTCTGGAACGTATGAACAAGGGCGAACTGATGTACAAGGACGAGTACACGGTGGAGAGTGATCTCAAGTCGGAGGTGCACATCACGAGGGTCACGATAAGGAAGTTGTATCTTCTCATGGGGAGAGACCTCGTGGCGGTGGACCGAGTCCCGGCGGGCAATGTTTGCGGGATCGGCGGCCTGGAGAAGTACGTGCTGAAGACCGCGACTCTCTCCACGACGATCGCCTGTCCCTCCTTCACGGAACTCACTTCTCTCGCCGTCCCGATCCTGAGGGTGGCCGTCGAGCCGAAGCATCCGCAGGATCTCCCGAGACTCATCGACGGCCTGAAACTGTTGAATCAGGCGGACGCCTGCGCCGTCGTTCGCATGCAGGAGAACGGCGAGATCGTCTTGAACACCGCCGGTGAGGTCCACCTGGAGAGGTGCCTGGAGGATCTGAACTTGCGTTACGCGAAGATCGATATTAACGTATCGGAGCCGATCGTGCCGCTTCGCGAGACGATCGTGCCGCCGCCGAAGCTCGACATGGTGAACGAGGCGATCGAGAAGAAGACGGAGGAGGTCAGCCTGGAGATGTGGACGCCCCATCGGCAATGTCGGTTCGAGATGGACGCGAGACCACTGCCGGAGAGCATCACGAAGATACTGGAGAGGAACGCCGGCTTGATGAAATTGTTGGATAACTACTGCGACGATCACGCCAAGGCGTCCGTGTCGGACAAGAAGCGAAAGGAGATCGCGGCGTTCAGGAACGAGCTGGAGGCGGCTTTCGACGAGGCGGGATGGAAGGAGGAATTCGATCGAATATGGTCGTTCGGTCCTCGCAAATGCGGCCCTAACGTCCTGTTGAATGCGACCGATTACAAGCAGAAGAGGTTGTGGGATCACCAGGACGTGAATCACGATCCTCGAGCGATGTAAATACATCTCTCTTTCTTTCCATTCAAAAGTCTCCTATTATCGACGATGCTCCTTATTTAACACTCGGTGCAACATGATTGTGCAATTATTTCAGGTACGACAACAGCGTGATCAACGGATTTCAACTCGCTACATTGGCCGGTCCTTTATGTGAGGAGCCTATGATGGGAGTTTGCTTTATTGTGAAGAAGTGGGAGATGTTTTATGTTCCACAAAGGTATGCAGGGGAGATGTTTATAATTACGGAGTATTTCCGTATTAACAATATCGTGTTGTGCGACACGATATCTTTGATTGAGAAGATTGATCCCGTAAACGGCACGTATGTGCTGCTGTTAAATTAAAATTGCATCGCTAGAAAAGGATTGTACTGAATCTTACATGACAGATAAGTAGACACGATAGCAAAGATATTAAGGATCGCGATAATAGCGCGTCGGTCGTGAGTTTAATTCCCGAGGATTGGAACGATTGCAATTGTTTATTTACTTATCCTTATTTTTTTTTATTACAACTGAATTATAAATTATTATAAATTAAATTTCACAATTATATCCTTTTTTTTTTTTTTTAAGAACCAACATCATGTATTACGGCGTTTCGTACTAAGCTTTAAATAACATAGCGATAACGGTATATATTACGTCGGGACGAAGTAAGCAACGAGGTCAAATTCGACCATTTGATGTTAATTGACGTTACTCACGTTACACATAAAATTCACGGTTTTAACGTGGTACGTACGTACATTTGCAGCCATCACCATCAGAGCCGAGGACTGTTGAATGGTCATGTAATGTCGACATTTAAGGAAGCGTGCCGACGGATCTTCAGTCTGCGACGTCCACGGTTGGTGATGCCGATGTACAGCTGTAACGTTTTAGTCAACTCCGATGTACTCGGTAAGTGATACACGCACATATATCTATAATTATATCATATGCTACTGTTCGCGATAAAACCGTGACAACAGGAGAGAACATCATATCGGTTCTTATTCTATCGGTTGATAGAGAAGTAATGAGAGAAATTAAGCAAAACCACGATAACAGCACGCTTGTGAGTTTCCCCATCGAGTTTAATTGTAAGTCTCGCGATTGTAGTCATTTATCTTTCTTCTGTCTTTTATGATTAATCCAGAAAATAAGATTTACCATAATGAAATTTATTTCCTATATTATCGTTGTTGTACGCGCAAAAGTACGTCTTAAATTTCCATTCGAATTATATAGTCGTATGTAGCATAATAATATGTATTATATCAATGTCTCTTGACATGAGTCGTCATTACATTATATATATATATATATATCGTGTCAACTCCAAAGTGGAGAGATGAACGTATGTTTTTGCATAATACAATAGTCATTATTCAAGATTAAAGATCACTAGCGGATTCCGGGAACTCACAGGATTGCTGTGTACTCGTCATATTTTTTCTTTCTATGATCACGCACGATTAAGTAGCTCGTTATCACCGCTAGCCGGCAGAGGCTGTTTGTCCTCCTTTGTCGCATCATTAGTCCGTTAATCGATGCACCGTGTGTTTAATTAAATTAGCCGACAATTCAAATTATTATACATTAGCGTAAAAACTACGAGTATAATAAATATGGGCTTACAATGAGTAATTAAATAAAAACGATAATGTCGCGCGCGATGGACGACGGTGGACAGGTGGACAAAACGAGGTTTCGGAATAAAACGGAGTTTCGAATCAGAAGTTACAAACGTGGGGGCGGGCCGTGATGATATTAGATTCTGTTCTGTTTCGCTGAACCACCAGCTTGTATAATAGTTCTCTTCTCCTCTTTCTTCCATCAAGTCTTAACCGTATATGTCTGTCTTTCTTATAAGTTCTACAAGTATAAGTCTAGTTCAGCGGAAAAGAACAGACCTCAGAATTGGTCAGGACAAACGATCCTCCATCCCGGCGCGTTTATCTGAGAGAATCGGGATGAGAGCGGACGAGAAAGTTGCATAGGCAGGAAGGATAGACAGGAGAACTCGATCAGGGGGGCTTTTCAATGGCTATCGGCGAATTATAAAAATGTAGTTGGCGAATTACATAAATTAACGTGTAAAATCCGTCGATGGTGGGGGGGGGGGGGGTTTNCAGAGAGACGTCGCCATCAGCTGTCGCACCTTGTGCCAAGGGAAGCGCGGCTTCTCCTCGTCCTCCGTGTGTCCTCCTGTCAACACACCGTTATTAAACCCGAATAAGTACAAGATTTCGCACACAGCTGGTTGAACAGTAACGCCTTCCCGGTGAAAGAGGCCGGAGAGAGAATCATGCTCAGAGCCTTAAAATTCACGATATCGTAATGAAATTCATTCTGGCGCACCTGGAATACTGCGCGAATGTCGCAACGGTCGTCCTCTTCTGTTCCCCTGCACGCACATCATCCCGTAGACTCGAATGCCCGGCACGCTGGCGTAAGTCGGCTGATCGTGACTCATAGGCCCCTCTGCGGAGTAAGACGTGAGAGATCAAAAGTGACAGTTACATGCTTTTTTGGTGTCACGTGCTCTTACTTTCTCGCAGTGAACACGATCCCGATAAGAGACGATGATCACGCTAACAAATTAATTAGAGATTCGGAAAACGTTCCGTATTCCGTCATCCGCGCGAGCCAAATCAAGTTACATGCAACTTTGTAATTGCATCATTAATTCACAAAGCACCGTGGCGGATTATCACTCGAGAGATACTCGAGTCAATTAACACGTCGACTACCAATTCCGCTGATTGCTGCAAAAACTTGACCGACGATTGCGTTACACCGAGGATGCGGCAAATAAATGTAATTTGAGACGCTTATATCTCAGGGTTGGCAAAATTCTTTGGATTTCTTGGATAAAGTCCGTGCCCCGGTGAAATAAAAACTGGTATTTTCCGTAAGAAAAACTTGACGAAAACTGGTCTTTTCTATTAAAAATGGTGAAATAAAGTAGTAAAGCTTTTTATCGATATTCTGATTTACAAGCAAGCTGAGTCGTCCTATACTCTTAGCTGTGTGCAAGAATCTGCGCATAAACAAAACAAGTAACAATCGTGCAATTGTATGTTCATATTTTTTTTATGTATCTTTTCACGCAACTGTGTTAATTATTATACGTTTATATCGTTTACTGGTGAAGTGATTAGTTAACGTGTAGAATTTTTTTAAATTAAGAGGAAGACGCAAAGAAGCGTGTATGGACTTGCTTTACGTCCTGTTCTATTTAATAAAGTTAATAAGCAGAAATCGCTTGTGGAACATAGTTAAGTGAGAAAACTTTATAACTGAAATAGCATCTTCAATGCTGTTAAAAAAAATATAAATACGAACCAGATCTACACAGTAAAGAACATTTTGTTACTTGTTAAAATTTTTTTTTCAACTTTTAACATATTTGTATGTTAACACATTAACGGCGGGCGATATTTTGTGTGATCATAAAAACTTTAAGGTACAGTCGAGCTAAATTGTTTTACTACGACTCCCGCCTTTAAGCCGCAGTCGAGCTAAATCGTAGTACTACGACTCCCGCCCTTAATGTGTTAATTTAACATATATTTGTGTTAAGTTGATATTCAGGGTAAGTGTTAAAATAACACATTTTATATTTTAATGCCGATCAATATATTAATTTTGCATTAATCTTTGACATACTATTTACGTTGCTCTTCAACATATTTAGTTTGCGTTAAATTAACAAAAATTCAAGTGGACCGTTCAGGACATGTGAAACGTATTAAATTTAACATAAAATTTTTTACTGCGTATATTGGTGAAATTTTTTAGTTTCGTTTTATCATTTTGTATTATCATTTTTCTCCCATTGAACTAAAAAACTATTATAAAACATTCTGTGACATTTATATCTCCAACGTTTTTGTTTTAAAAACGTATTTCATATATTTTCAATTCATTCTATTTAAATAAAAAAAAAAAAAACATTAAAAACGACTTTATTATTATATTGATTTTGTTGTACTTTAGATCATAGCGATTATATGATTTAATATGATTTACTAATTAAAGCAAAAATATCTCCTACATAAAGTCACATAAATATATTTCAGTGTCACATAGTCTTTACCAGTTTTTGCCAGTTTATTTCATATTGAACACAAAGTCCGGGACGATGAAGACCGGAATTTACCGTGGTTTTTCCACCTACTGGGATTTCCCGATTAACTCTGGTATATCTCGCACTACCTTTCATCTACCTGTCTCTTGCAAGCCGAGTTTCCAAATGCAATTGATCGCACATACGTAACTTAATGAGCCGTGGTGATATCACCGTGCCGATCACCGGTGAGACCGTCGCATTCAACGGGCGTGCGCGGGACAGACTGCTTACCGAGTATGTTCGTGTCGGGACATCGACATATCACCAGGTAATGAGACTTTCCCGTGCGCACATTCTGTAACGCCAATAGTGACCAGTCCCTCGACGCCCTGCATTCTCGCATCTCAGCAACCGGCTCGCACGTTTTCACTAAGGTCAAGGCCTGGAACAGGCGCGCGATGAACACGGTCGTATTTTTACAGTTCACTTCCGCTTGGGAGGTAAATTCAGGATCTATTAAATCGCTCGCATTAGACGCCTCGGAGCATTCTAGCCAGCGTAATGACGTTAATCGTATGTATAAAAGAAAAAAGAGAAACCCGCTCCTCTCGAAGCTCCTATAAAGCGTCCAGTGGATTGCACCCTTGGTCGGTGCATTCTAATCGCGCCCGATTAGGATGTGCAAGCGAGACTCGGGGACGATATAATAGGGTGGGAGTATTTTATCGTGCGCCGTTTGAACGGGATACACGGGGGGAATTTTTACGGTGAAAATTATATAGCAAAAGTTATATATAGTGAAAAAGTTATAATTACAATTCGGTAGCTGAGGAATATATCGACTCTCTGCCTTAATTTATTATTATCCTTTTTTTTTTATACGTACTATTTTAGTTTGGATTTTAAGATATAAGGATTTTATTTTATTTTAGAAGTGAATGTCCTCCAATTAGTGACAAAGTAATCTTATTGTGAAAATAAATCAATAAATTAGTAATATACAGTCCTGGTCATATTATTTTGATTTTTTTAATAGAATACTGGTTAGGAGGGGAAGAAAAGCTACTAATTTTATGTTTACTCGATTAAAATGATTCTCGGTATCGACCAGCGCTTTTATCTGCGCAACCTTCTGACATTGTCAAATCACTTGTTTCACCCGTAATTTTGTAAACAATATTAATATTTTTCACACAAAAATTTATTTTTCTGTTAGTCGAGCAAGGAATTTGAAGTTTCAGGTCACAAATAAACAAAAATAAAACTAAATTTCAATTGACACACACTCACCTCTGTTCTCGCGTTATTATCAACAATGTAACCAGCGCGGGTTCATACTTATTCAAAGTCATTTTAACAGTCAAGTAAAATGACGTCATAAAAAATACCTTTTATAGAATAATGATTCCTTAATATAATTCGATCAATAGATGAGCCGTATTATAAAGCTGGTCCTTGGAAGTCAATGAATTGAGAAAAATTAAAGTGCGTCTAATAATATGGCCAGAGACTGTTAAGCTAGCTAATATTAAATTAATTTTGTTCGAAAGTTTGAATATTTGCGGTTCTAATTGTCTGATATTTTTTTAATTTGTGATAAGATTTAAATTAATTTATAATATCTCTTCAAAAGTGTGACGGAAGTGACATATAATCTTGATTTCGTTCCACTTTGTAAATATCCTTAATGTTGCCTCGACTTTGACAGTACTATTTTAATCGTTTGAGGTTAGAGAATAATTATAAAAGATCAAATAAAAGCCTCATATTAACAGTCAACTTAGATGCCGGCAAGTAACTTTGAATTGTCGCCGTTAGCAACACGGTTGCACTTGTAATATTT